CTGGTAAAGACAAAAGTGATTCCAGTGGTTAGGGAGTTTGCTCGTGTATATTACGTTTGGTGAAAAGCTATTAGAATATCAAAACTACGATGATTGTAACATTCTGTCCATGGTTAACTGTTACATTGCTACTATTGACCGTTTTCAGTAGTCAAACTCTATTCGGAGCATCTTCCCTGTTTCCTGCTTTCCCATTGGTTGACTGCAATCTGACTTTGTCTTGGCGGCCGGCCATCTTGGTTTGCTTACTGTTTGCTCTGACCATCACACATTGGTGCTGCTTGTTGGACTGGTGCTGGTCAAATTACTTCGAATGTACGTTTCCATTCGACTTCAACCTTCTCGTTTACCATACCGTTTGTTAACCTATTGTTTTATCCTTACAGAACCACTAAAGACAAGAATCCGAGATGATCCGACTATCTTCTGATATTAATATTGACCGGGGAGTGCGTTTATTCGATCAAAGACCAGCAAAGTACCATATATACGAATCGCGTAGCAAAAATAATTGTTCCTGTTCCTTAGTAACACAAATAACAGTATTTAATCAGATAAATCTCATCGTAGGGCACTTTAGATGTACATTACTTTTCTGTCATTCATCCCTACAAAACTGATAGCGCGAATCTTTTGTAGCAGTAGTACATATATTCAGTTCATCCACTTTAAGCAGATTCTGAGTCTCTGTCGGCGGAGTCAGAACAGTCGATGGGCAGAGGCCGAATGAAGTCTAGTTCCACAGTCGGTATTAAGACATTAGCTGACTCTTTGTTGATGCCAGAGATTAGAAGTTTGTCTCGAGCCTTCGCATCTTAAATGATAAATATACTCCTTTTCTGTGATATTTATTGCGTAGAAACTATCGAGCTGGTACCCACTGTGAAAACTGGAATGATGAATCACGGCAACAGCGAGCAAAACATAAAAGAATATTTCATAAAGTCTTTACCTTTAAAGTCTGCATAAGTATTCAAATGAGTGCATCAGTCAAGTTCCACTGTATCGTCGGTCAAGCAGCTGAGTAACCAGATTTTACAAAAAATGCGCGAAATGCATAAATTAATGATTTACCTGGAGACCAATAGATGTAATCACATTGGGAACATTTAACTGAGGCTAATTTCAAGGAAACTAATGAAATCTATAGGACATAATGCATAAAAACCACGGGTTGCACAAACAGTAAAGAAAATGTCAAACCGGATTCGATTAAATGAATAACAACAAAAACCAAGCACAAACCGAACTGTCGACATTAGGTAAAAAACCCACCGAGATGGATTCCTGATTTTCCGGTTTAACCTCAGTATTGCCTGAAGGAAGCTTGGGAGCTGACGAACTTCGGAAATAGCTGGACCGCGTGGAAGGACGAGTTGGTGACTGGTTAGAACTCGAAACCCGCCCGCGTGACCTCGAAAAGCGATTGCCAGGTAGGGACCTGCGATAGATTTGAGGGGGAGTGAGGGGGAGTGGAACTGAGTAAGACTTTTCAAGCAGCATGGAAAATGCAGCTGCTTATTTCGATAGAATTTTTAGACCCTAGTTAATACGTTCGAAATAAATTACACCCGGAAGAATATGAACGGATGCAGCAGTAGGTATCTCTTCTGATGTCGGATGCGATGTACCGCCTTGCGAATTGGGGTTAGATATTTTACCGACTGGTGTCCTAAGGACTGGGATGTAGATTCTCATAAGCACATAGATGGTCCAAAGGATTCCGTAACTGGTCTTTCACTGACGATCATCTTAATACGTAGGTGACCGCATTTACCTAAAACTCCACGCCTAACCTCAGCATTGTTCGTCCGGCTGCCCCACCAGATTCGTGCAATGCTGCGTAGACAGCGGTGTTCAAACACTGACAGTCTATCTTTATCCTGCTTTCTTACTGACTAAGTGCTTGCGTCGTAAAGCAGAACGGGCCGAACTGCTGCAACATACACGCGAACCTTCACAGACAGCCGGATGTAGCGACGGCGCCACAGATGTCTTAAGTTGGCAAATGCCAACCGAGCCTTCTGTATACGAGAAGACACTTCATCCGCGATGCGTCCACCGGGTGAGATGCAGCTGCCCAAATAACAAAACTTATCCGCTTGTCCTATTACTTACTTCACGCGTTAGTGAGTCTAGGTGCTGGATCAACACAGTTGTCGTAAAATTTTACACTTTGAGGGTGCAAAACGCATACTGAACCTGGTTAGACTAGCACTCAAACTTTCCAGAAAAGCTTGCAACTTACGTGGGTCTTCAGTTAGCAGCACAATGTAGTCTGCATACTCCAGGTCAGACAGTCTACCACTTGAGGGTAAATCGATGCCGCTATCCTCGAGGATACAGCTATTTCCGAAAACAAACAAAACAATGTCTTTTTACTTCCTTTTTCAATTTATTGAATATACAAATGTACAGTCATACAAATGCTGCCTGGGGAAAAGACAGATATAGGGAAGACGGGCGGCGGTGGAGCGGTTTGAACCCGGGACACCCAGACCACTAGTTGGTGACCTAACCACTTGGCCACCACTTTCTGTGGTGAACTCGGGTGCAAAAGTGCAGTAAGCTCGGACTCGACTTCGGTTATTANNNNAACAGGGATTGTAATATTGAAATAAACTTCTCGGGCACACCTTTCAGAATTAGGCAGCGCCAGAGTTTAGAGCGGTCGACTGAGTCGAAAGCCACTTTCAGATCGAGTAAAACAGAAATGGTGGGTCTACGAAACGAATGTCGGTGCTCCATAGTTTGGCGAAGAGTGAAGATGTTGCCGATACAACCAAGACCAAGTCTAAAGTCAGCCTGGTTCTCATGTGTGCCCCGTTCCCCTGCGGCAGACAGTCGACGGAGTATGGTGTCAGCCAGAAGTTTAAAGATGATGTTGATTAGACTAAATCCTCTGTGGTTTTCACAAGAGGATATGTCACCTTTCTTGTAAATTGGTATGATGATAGATTCACAACATCCAGTTGAAATCTCTCCGCTCTCTCATCTTGAGCTCAGGAGTTTTGTTAGCTTCGAAAGTTGAGCCTCCATTCTTAATAGCCAATGGGGACAGCCTATCTGGGTCGGAGGTCTTATTCCTATTGAGGTAACTTATTTCCCGGGAAACCTCCATTTCAGATGGA